ACAATTTCAAAACCCTCTACACAGTACCAATTCATTAACAGCTGGAAACCAACTAAAACACTGAAAGCCGCATGAATGCAAGGTATGAAACAATTACACCGAAATGAATGCACTGACCTGGTAGTGAAAACTTTCGAAACCAAAGAAATAATTCATTTTAACAGCAACGGAAACAAAAAATGAGGTGAAACGCAACATTTGTGAACAATACGCAACAAGATAAGTCGTGTATAGTGGCAGGATAAACGGAACAACAAACGCGTACACGAACAGCTACGGAACAGCAATCCAACATGGCCGACTAACATGGACGAAAATGACCTTCGAGCGTCTCACTCCACCAATGACCTTGATAAGTTACGGATAATTTCAGCCAACTTCCTTCAATCTAGATAACATATAATACAATTTTATTAAAAATTATCGGCCAAAAAAAATTTCCAAGCGGAATTCAACAGTACGTGATAAATAAGTCCAGCCGATAATATTAATACTAGTTTACGAAAAATTCATAATACTCAGGGGACGATAACGAATTATCCCTTACCTGGGATTTTAAAGACTGAATTGAGGTGTCATGGTACGCAACAGATTCGTGCTCATGTTGACTTTAGATTAAGGTAATAAATGGTAAACGGCTTTTGTGGTCTGTGTCAATCCTTGTAATGTATATATCTCCGTAGCGATCTGATTTCCCTTTGAAAGTGTTTGGTGATGGAGCTTATACTGCTCGATCTGACAGGGAGTCTTCGCTGTTGATCACTTCACGTGAGAATCTGAATTCCATATGTATTTCATTCGTCTATGGTTTGAGCGTCATTTTGTGATAACCTTTCAAGAGTATCCTAGAAAGACAGGAGAGGTTAGGAAGAGCGATTCCCAAATCACCTTTTATTATTCGGTACCAAAAATTAAGTCAACTCTGCTCCTTCAGTATGACAATGGCAAGAGGTATTAACGCTTCATGTTCTCATAAGGAGGTACTACTGTCTGACTTGGCTTATGACTTTATATTCTTTTAAAGACTTGTGTCCTATTGAAGTATTTATTACTCATTTTTATAAAGTATTTTACATGAGATCTGACATATGCTGCACAGACTACTCTTAATATTAATGCATACTAATCTTACTTCCGAATTCATGACATTACACTAACTCCACACTGAGGGATAAAAATCCCCTCTCTGACATGTAGCACGTTATCAGGTAATTCATGCAGGTCAGTCCTTGTTGCTACGGTTTTATCTTTGGTAAACAAGGGCACGTAGTGGCCTTGAGGTAGGATTTCTTAGCCTCTAAATTCATTCGGAATTGGTAGAAACTCGGTGGATTTAAATTTCAAAAGGATTAAAATACTTATAAGAATCAAAGTAAGTAGTCTGGTACGGTATCTGAGTCGTCCTGATTTTCTATGAATGCATGAAGAATACACCAAATATTGCAAGATATAACACGCAGAACCTACACGCTCTGCTCGACTACCACAAATGTAAATGGTGGCACTACCACCTCAATGTCGAGATCCGGAGCAGTGCCAGTACAAACACAGGCACTAAATAGAAACACCACAACAAGTTGTGCTAGGACTGCTGATAACGGAACTTAAGAATAAACGTATGCGTAAAATCACTTGATCAAAGTGATGACCATAATTGCCGCATAGTTTCTTTGTTCTTTCTCTGCAATGTCACCTTCATGAGCGAATTCTGCAAACCCCTATTAAGAAACGTCAAAGAAATGACAGCTTGCGAGGTGATATCGTTATTTCTTTCCATCAGGGATCGGAATGAAGGAATTTATTACTAATTTCTAAGGCTCCAAGTAAGGGGACAGCCTTGAAGGCTCCCAAGAACACGTATTTCGTGCCCGGTGCAGCGAACATAGTCCGAAATGATCAGTGTAAACACCATCATATGATAGGTTTTCCATTTTTCAGCCTTCTATCTGTATCAAAGAACAGTCACATCTCACCAGCTTTAAAACTTAAATCTCATTTTTTTCTATGTTTAGACATTTACCAAACACAACTTAAATAAGATTTTGAAACCCAGTAACGTTCATCGTTTGCGAACACTAGTCAGACCTCTGGGAGTTATATTGTTCAGAGCTATTTTCATGATCGAAACAACGGATGAAATTTAGTATCTAAAATAATTTAGTGATTCGGAGACAGAAAAAACTGGCTGAATTATTTTTGTCTGCTTTTCATGATGCGGATCATATAGAAAACTATCTGAGGTGGTCTCAGTAGAATCGATGTGTAATAGAAAAAAGGGGGTAATTTAAACACACACTGTTTAAACAAGCACTATGTACAAATTCCATGTTTCAGCCAGTCATCACTGATATCACACGTCGTAGAAGACCCCTGTTCTCTGTACAGAGAAAGGGCAAAAGAACGTGTAATATTTTATGGGCTCCTCAGTAGTTTCATTATAGAATTTGTCAGCCAACTCTCAGAAGCTGTCAATATCCAGCTCTTACTACGCTGGACCCCACGCTGTCCCTGGAAGACTTTCAGAAACAATTTGTAATAATCAACGCGAAAACCAGAACACAGATTGGCGACTCAAGAATCATTTATTCTTGCGCCAATACGTAACCAACAATAAGGTTATTACACACTAGATCTAGGAATAAATGTTATAACAATAAATCACGATAATACTTCTGAAAGTTTTCTGTCTTCCATCGAACAGCGAACGATGAGATGATGACTGCTGGATTGATGACTCCCGCGAAAAATATAGAGTTGGGTTTAAGCAAGCAACCATGAATTGATCGTTCAATCTTCAACTACATTGACAGAATGCGTGACACCTCAAGCAGGCCAGTTAGTCGCACTGCTTGGACGACTTTGATGCCAGCTCTGTTTTGGACCAACTAGATATAGACTTGATTGTCTTTCCTGATAGAACCGCACTTCGGTCACCCGACAAGGTTAGTGCTTAGTCTGTCTCACTCAACCTGGTGGATATATTTCTATTACCACTATCCGAAAAATGGGGGATACGATAGTTGTAGCTGTTTGAGGATGCATTTGGTAGACGGAGCACACAGATGCATAACAACAGCACAATACAGGTATCATCTTGATTTTTAAAAGCCTGATCTTCCGCGATATGTCCTCTGATCTTTATTCGTGCAGACAAATAAACTGATTGATAATGGCTAGATGTCTAAAAGTTGGTTTATCCACGAATTTGCTTGGTCTGATGCAAAAATACAAGTGGTATAGAGGGACCTTAAGTCGTGGGAGCCAATAACCTCCAGGATTATAACAGCAAGATTCAACTCGGAAGGAAGGCTGCCGCTATACAACGCCACACTACTACCATCAGCACAGACAAAAAGAAGGAAGACTTCTAAAAAAAACTGCGAACAATGATGGAAAAGAACCCAAAATCTCGACATAAAGGTTCTAGTGAGTGATTGAATACCAATCAGACAACAGAGAAGGGGAACTCGTCATGGTTTAAGAGGCTCTTGGCAAGAGAAATGAGAACGGATAACTTTTTACACACTTCTGCGCCTTCAGTGATTTGGTGACTGGACTCAGTGTATAAGTACAGGGATATAGACAAAGCGACGCAGGTCTCATCTGACGGATACACCGTAAATCAAACATACTTAGTCTGACGAAGGTGGGAATGTAGTCTGCAAGAGAGCAGTGGAAGGGATGTGGCTTAGACCATTACCTACCGCCAGGAACCTTAATAGTCAGATTGAAAGCTCTCAAAACAGCCTGAGGTAGGTTTAAATGCAGGTTCAGTGCTTAGAAAATGAAGCGTGAAATTACAGTAGATGCCATTGCCGTATTCATCGGGATAATGTCGGAGACATTTGGTAACATCACCGTGGAAACTTTCCAGGAAGATCGCTAGGAATCTCCGTAAGTGTCATAGATCTTGGTAACTGTACTGAATAGGACCACACAGTGAACTTTTAGGGTTGAGAAAACGAGTACACGTTGGACCTTAGACGGTGAGGACTTCTCAGATTATCCAAGTCTCGTCTACCCCAAACGAAAATATACGAAAGATGACCGAAAAGTTTGTCCAAAAGTCAGTAAAGTTAGAGTCCCAGGTGAAAATAAAGAAAACGGAGGTGATGGAGATATCTAGGCAGCAATACACACTAATCGCCACCAATATATAAATCTGCAAAAACCCATTTGTGTCATTTACCAGACTGGGCACCATCTTTTCAAATACAGGCGATATAAATGATGTTAAAGCGAGTCAGTATTGTAAGATCAACATACGTGGTATGAAATCACCGTGAAGACCCACCGCATTCATCTCAGGGATTAATGTCAGAACTTTCCATGTGAATGTCAAGTTAGTCCTTCTATATGGCGAAAATCATATCGAAAATCACCTCCAGAATATTGCTCACTCTCGCCAGTGAATTTCGAACGGCCACCTTCTCGAAAGAACTCTGGTAGCGAATCAACCAAGAACCTAATGCTTAACAAATATGCACGAAAAATGGAGACTTACTGGATATGGGCTAAAGAGCTATCTAGGTGAAATCACAAGCTCAGGACATCTAGCTGGGCCTAAATAAGCAGATATGAGCAACTGTCCAAGAATGACATGGAGACGATTACATAAGGGAGATAAATGATTGCAGTAACTACTGGAGTCAGAGGAAAGAGATGTTAGTGAGCCGAGTATATAAGATTTGTGTTCCAAAAGGACTTAAGTAATTAATTATAAGAATGCATTATAGCTATTCAAGAAAAATTACTGGAATTCCCTATAGAAACAATTATTTTGTCAAAGTCTTTAAAGTGAAATTTAATTTCAGGGTAAATGTTAACCCAAGCAAACGTCGTAAGCAGATAAGATATGCTAATTTTGTTGATAATTTTTAAGGGACCGATGACAAACTCAGCCACTATAAGCACTATAATACAGGTGAATCGGTGGAGCGGCATACATTTAGTTGTGGCAGTAATTAAAATTTCGAAGTCCAATCAATTAGTTTGAAGAGACCGAAGACCATAATTGGCGCCAGGTTGAGGAATTTTGAATGTCGGTAGGTTGTTACTAATTAGCTATGACTGAATGCAGGAATCGAGCTCTACAGGTCGACGCGGTGGACTTCCAAGTGCAGCAAGTCCAGATCATGAGGAGGCTGCATTTGAGGATGAGTCAGCCGCGATTTTGGGTGATGACAACCTTGATGAAGAAGAGGAGTCTGGGGAGAATTTGTTTGGTGATGATATGGAACGAGATTACCGGTAACTTCCTCTTCTCTCTTTATGCTTTAAGACCTATCCCAGAACTTGATGTTTATGAAGCGGAAGGTTTGGCAGATCCTGATGAGGATTTCGAAGAACTCTCTCCTAATGCTCGAGCCGAAGCTGAGCGTTTAATGCGTCAACGTGACCGTGAGCGCCTTCTCGCAACTGGTGGCCTCAGGCGTGATCTTATAGCTGGTACGACAGTGAATTTTATTAATTCATCTGGATTTAGATCTTTATGGCGCTGAAGATGACGAGGAAATAATCCCTGTCCGTCGTAGACGGCTTGCTGAAAGAGCTGCAGAGGGTGCTGAAGGTGATATGGAACCAGAAGGTGTTTTAGAAAGCATTGAAAATTTGGAGGATATGAAGGGGATGTCTGTGGTCGAGTGGGTTCAACAACCTGCTACTCGCCAGGAAATCAAAAATCGGTTTAAGGCGTTTCTCAGGACTTTTTTGGATGAAAATGATCGCAACGTGTATGCTGAGCGTATTATACAGATGGCAAGAGAAAACAAACATAGTCTCCACATTGACTACCAGCATTTAGCGTCAGCAGAGCAAGTCTTAGCGTATTTTTTGCCAGAAGCTCCTCAGAATGTTTTGGAGATTTTTGACGAGGTAAGATAAACTCTTATACTAACTCTGCCAGGCTGCCCGCGAAGTCACACTAACAAGATTTCCTCGTTACGACCGGATTACAAATCGTGTCCACGTGAGGATCAACGACCTGCCTCTTATTGAGGACCTTCGGTGTCTGCGTTATTTTCATCTTAACCAACTTATCCGGACATGTGGAGTGGTCACCAGCAGTTCTGGTGTTCTGCCTCAGTTGAGCGTGGTCCGCTACAATTGCACAAAGTGTAGATGCCTTTTGGGTCCTTTCGTCCAAAACCAAACTGGTTTTGAGGTCCGACCAACTACCTGCCCAGATTGTCAGTCTGGTGGCCCATTTGAACTAAATATGGAGCAGGTAACTATTTCATTTTTGCTGCTTTTGGACTCGTGTGTGATTCTCCTGTACTCTAGTCGTTTGTCTGAGTGAGTCTGAGCAAACAGATGCCCATAATTTGGTTATATTTTGGGTCTCATTGGTTAAATCTGTTAAAAGATTGTTATTTTATGCTTCAATGATTGAGTAAGTATGAGATTAAGACAGATACCTCTTCATGTTCTTGTATTATGTAGAACATCTAAATTAACCTCCATCAACTTTACCGGATCCTAGTCATTTTCAAAAGAAGTGCTACTCGAAGAAAGCTTCAGGAAGAATTTAAGATAAGTGCCACGTACCTCTTTCTGATTCGTGTTGGTATCTCCTAGTTCTATGATTTATCAGAATCCATTATCGTCTCTATGCTTATATCGGCACTCTGACGCCGAAACCAATGGTTGAGGACCTTAGTATTTCTGCTTGTATATTCCCGAGTTGCTTGCCTGATTTCGGCTAGTTTCTTTGTCATATAACACGGATGCTGATATTGAAGTTAACACGGTATTTACAGAACACAATAGGGTTACTCACGCTGTAAATTAGTAGCCGAGATTCATTCAAGCATAGCGTTTGGTGTGCTTCGAAGGGTAACTGTTTTTATCTCACTGGTTTCCTCCTCGGAATTGATTACATTAGCAACTAGTGAAGTTGTTTGAAGTTTGACAGTTTCATTCAATAAATTTGCTTTCCAGACAATTTACAAGAATTATCAGCGTATTACTCTTCAAGAAAGTCCTGGTAAAGTTCCAGCAGGTCGTCTTCCTAGGTCCAAAGACGCGATTCTTCTTGATGATCTAGTGGATAGCTGCAAACCGGGTGATGAAATTGTAAGTTTCGTTTGCGATTATTTACTTGTGCATTTTAAAAGGAGTTAACAGGTATATATACACATAGCTATGATGGATCACTTAATACAAAGCAAGGTTTCCCAGTTTTCGCAACTGTCATTTTAGCAAACAACGTTGTCCGGAAAGACGATAAGGTAAGTATATCATTTTAAGCTGTGATTTCTTTCGTGCCCATAGGTTGCAGTTGGTACGTTAACTGACGAGGATACTAGGGCAATTTTGAAACTTTCACGCGATGAACGGATTGCTGATCGAATTTTTGCTAGTATAGCGCCAAGTGTATATGGTCATGATGATATTAAACGCGGCATTGCGTTAGCACTCTTCGGAGGTGAACCAAAAAATCCTGGTAAGTTCGTGTTCGAGTAATGCAAATTGTGGCATATTTAACTGCTCATACATAAATGCATAAGATGTCATTGTTTTCATTATCTTGGCGTTTAGAGTGCTGCCTCAGTGGTTTTTTTGTTGTTGTATTTCTGGGAAGTAGCTTACTTTTTCAATTAATATTTTGGTCATCAATAAGTAAACTCATAAGTTCCTCCCAGCAGTTAGAATAATCTAAACGTATCCTATTTATTCCACTGTTTTATATCTTAGAATTGGTAGGATGACAGAATATTTATTATGAGCTTAGGGTACACTGCAAAAAAAGCTGTCATATTGTGAATCATACTTGGTAAAATTAAGATAATTTAGTAAGTTTAAATGGGGCATTATTTCGTGGTTCCTACACGTACTTTTACTGACTAACTAGCTTATGAACGTAGAACTTTGCAGCTGTTGGAGTTGCAACATTTCTACGACCGTAGAAGTAAGGGATGGAAATGTAATACAACTACATATTTTTTCTGATAATACAAAATACAAAGTCACTGAACTTCTGTATTTCAAATAGCTCACGTTACTCTTGCTTAAGATAATCATTTACGTGTGCGTCCGGATCACGTTTCATTCTAAGATGAAGTTGATCGCACCGAAATTCAAACCCTACATATTTTATTAATAGTATCAAGTATCTCTAAAGTTACTCCAAAAACCTAGCGGATGACTGAATTCACTTATAGTTGACATGATTTAGCCCATCCCCCTAGTTTACCGCCGTCGGTGGTAGACTTCACGGTTATTATCTCTTTGATGACAAAAAAGAGGCATCAAATGAAAACGCACTTCAGGTCTAGTTACTAAAAGAAGGAAAGCATAAAATTATGGTAGGATAAATGTGATTTCCTGAGGTAATGTTAATACATGCCATGCTTAATTTCATAAGTAATAACATGTGCATACCTTTTATTTAGGATTTGGTAATATATGTGGCATTATATTGGACTTGGTATAAACCGAGTCCTAATACATTTTGAGAGCTTCATCCATGCCAACAATATCGTTCGAGTATTTTAAGTCAGTTGTTTCATACTTGTAGCAAGTTACGTATTAGGGCATCAAAGACAAAGAGTTAGTTTTATCACTAGGTCTTTACGAAAAGGAGACAGAAATTATGTACATCTTTTGATATGACCACTTCAGATATTAACTCATTGCACTTACACGCCTTTTCGTAATTTCGGATCGAGTATGTAGTGTAACAGCATCCTAGACATCATGCCTTATCAAATACATACACTACTCTGAAACTGTTTCTACGTGAAGTGTAACTTGTCGGACGTTGTCCTAAATTGGGAGTTCAGCAAACTTTATACCTACTAAAATACTATGTGACTCCAAAAATTAAGACACTTTGTTCCAGAACCTGTCATCAGATAGAGATATGGTCAGTGCACCTTTGTCTACATCTGAAGCCTACTTGGTTCTCTCACGTTTGTTTATTTCAAGAAATTATACCATTAGATCTTTTTAAGTCTCAATTCCGATTCGAAACATTCTTCGTCAATTGATTGTAAAGTTCTACAGCTTCGTTGGATGCAGCATATGTTGAGTCACATAGTTTGTTTATCCACTTCTTCACCTTTCTTGACCTGATAAACAAAGATGTTCTTCACTGATTAATTTATGTAAAATGTGCTGCGCGCTACGAAGTATTGTCTTTTTCGACAAACAATTTTGGCCACTGTATAATTTTGTTGGTGAAGTCAGGTGTAGTTGTAAAAATAGTACCAATCCATGATATCTATAATTAGTTGGTAACACGCTAGCTACGTGACTACCTCACTGTCCTGCATCCGTGAGTGAGTCACAATTATTGTGACGGCTGGTGATACTACCTGACTACGCAAACCTCGGGTGGTGGAGTTGGGTTCAAACTTGACACACTAGTTGGAAGCCGAGACCCTAGACGAGTGAACTACGACTCTAGTATGCGTGAGCTTCGAACTAAAGTGGAATTTGTGTCCACTGCTATTTTGATGTTAGTGGCTATCCAAATGATCTTATTTAGTGATGGAATTTACTTTTAAATTAATGAAATCCCAATTAGACCAATACTTGTGAATTTTATTCTGAGTTAAACTGAGTTTAAATCATAATTGTCCATTATAGTTTCATTCCCTTTCTGTCCTATGGCTTTGTATACTTATTTGCGGTTTAGAGGCTTGAACTGATGCACTTCTGCTGATAGTTCTATGGTAATTTCTAAATATGTCATCCATACGAGCGAGTAATGTTTGTATCAGTTGTATAACGTACTTCGTCTTAATTCAACATTAAAAGCTTATTCTTTCGTAGGCGTGATATTGAGTTTTCGTCCGTCTGTTATCAGTGTACGTTACAAGAGAATGCGCATAGCATGTGGTGATACCGAAAACTGTGACTGCTGTCATACGATAGTACTAGTTGTTGATGCAAATGCAAACCCATAACGAAAAGTTGATGGGAGTCTTTGTCTGTCTTATATATACCCGTATTTATGTATTTCTTTTTAGGTGGAAAGCATAAAGTTAGAGGTGACATCAATATGCTTCTCTGTGGAGATCCAGGAACCGCCAAATCTCAGTTCTTGAAGTGTGTTGAACAGCTAGCACCAAGAAGTGTTTTCACAACTGGTCAAGGTGCAAGTGCAGTGGGTTTGACAGCATATGTTACCCGCAGTCCAATGACTCGAGAGTGGACTTTGGAAGCTGGTGCTCTAGTACTTGCTGATCGTGGTGTTTGTCTCATTGATGAGTTTGATAAGGTAACCTTTTACATTGATTTTAAAGTGATTTCGTAGACCTCATTTAAAACCTGAGCATACAGCGTACTTGCTGAAAGAGTCATAAAGTTGAAGTGTTACTGATGTTATAGAAACAGTTGTTACTGTCTGTGTAGTAGATTAGGTTATGTAAGAAAATTGTTCTTGATTTATAGAATAATTGCAAATCCTATGCTCTTCCTAGTATAGGATCGATTATTTTTGACTTTAATTTATTTCTCAACTTATTTATTATAGATGAATGACCAAGACCGAACGTCCATACATGAAGCTATGGAACAACAGAGCATCTCAATAAGTAAGGCTGGTATCGTGACAAGCCTGCAAGCAAGATGTACCGTCATTGCAGCTGCAAATCCTATCGGCGGTCGTTATGACCCAAGCATGACATTTTCCGATAATGTCGATCTGAGTGAACCTATTTTGAGCCGTTTTGATGTTCTCTGTGTAGTACGAGACTCTGTAGATCCTATTCAAGTAAGCTACCACCTTATTCGTCATTAGACATATAAAAAGTTGGTTGATAATATGTATATTTTATTTGGTGATGCTTCCTTTTGATTGTAACGTTGGTTAAGACGTAAAAACAGTGCAAATTCACCAACTGTTACTATTTGATGGACTCATAATTCATAGTAGCAAGTGATAATACCAAATGATCTCATTTGAGTAGAAGCAGTCTATGTCAACGTGTATTTATGTTGGTATCAGGTCGAAAAAGAGCTAATGGTTGCCAAACCAAAACATGGCCTCACCAGTCAATGAAATCCACAACAGTTAGTTTAAGCCACGTAGGGGAGTGTCTACTTCCTCGTTGGGATCCTCGGATGGTAAAAACCAGTAGCCGGAGGCAACTGCTGATATGGCTCAAAATCGTTTCCATTTGCAGGCGTAGATGCATTCACATTTTGTGAGGCGTCATATCCAATAAAATTCTATTGTTCTTACATATTGCACCTCTCTTCTCTTGCTTTATGTGGTACATAGAGTGAATGTGGCAACTCGAACTGGTGCATATCTGTGCAAAGTTCTACGTTGAAACCAATCAGTCAGTATATATGTCATTACTAAAAAATAGAGTTGAGTTAGAAACCCCTTCTACTAAACATTATTTTTTCTAACTTTACAAAATTCAAATCTGGTACAATATGGGCATCAAGGGATGAATCACACGAAAATAAGACCATCTGAATTATTAGCGTGGAACTTCTCACAAAAGTAACAGCTCTAGTCATCACAGTTTTTAAAAGTACACAAAAGGTGGGAGGTGGAGAAAAGTGCAATTAAACTACAACAAGTGGAAATGTGAGAAGAAATTATGAATAGTGATGTTAAGAATCTGGAAAATCGCGGGAAATGAATGCATCTACATTACTGAGAAGGATTTTGATTCATACCATGGACTCATCCAACAGAAAGAGTGGATGCGTCTTATTTCGTTTTACTACTTTGATGATTTTAAGTAGCTTAAATTTTTAGTGAATAATCATTGAATGTTTGATTTGTTCTACAGTGTTGATTGAATTAACGAATATATGAGCATAAGCTTTGTGTTGATGAAACAATGTCATTGTGATGGTTTGGTTCTTAGTTTATTCTGAACGAAAGATGGCTTCTTGTATGGTGGGTATGCATACTCGCATAGGATTATGTGGTATATACAATTATTATTATTATTATTATTTATTATTATTCTATTATTATATCCTTTAGTTCCTAGAGGAACATAGGGCTTCAGCTGCGCACCTCCATTGCCTTCGGTTTTCTGACAACTTTTTCACCCTGCTCCAGGTCTGCCCACATGCTTTCATCTCCTCCACGCATGACCTCCTCCAAGTCACCCTTGGACGACCAACTCGCCGCCTCCCTTTCGGGTTCCACTCGAGGGCTTGTCTAGTGATGTCACTTGATGGTTTCCTCAGCGTATGGCCAATCCATCTCCATTTCTTTCTGCCTATTTGTTTCACAATCGGTTCCTGATTGGTTCGCTCCCAGAGATCCCTGTTGCTGATCTTTTCTGGCCATCTGATCTTGAGTATTGAGCGGAGACAGTTGTTAATGAAGGTTTGAAGTTTGTTTGAGATGCTCTTTATGACTCGCCAAGTCTCTGATCCGTATAGTAGCACTGACTTCACATTGGAGTTGAAAATCCGGATCTTATTTTTGATGCTGAGTGCTGTTGACCTCCACACAGATTTGAGAGTAATGAAAGCTTGTCTTGCTTTTCCGATTCTGGCTTTGATGTCCTCGTCAGTTCCGCCTGTAGTTGAGACGATGCTTCCCAGGTAGGTGAAGGAGGTTGTTTCTTTCAGGTTCTTCCCATTTATGCTGATTGTTGTCTGTTGTTGTGTTGCTGTTGATGTTGGCTAGGAATCTTCATCATCTCTGTTTTATCTATGTTCACGTGAAGTCCTATCTTTGATGCTTCTTCTGCCAACTTGTTACTTTTCACTTGCATATCTTCCAGTTTATGGGAAATCAGACATATATCATCGGCGAAATCCAGATCCTCCAAGTCTTTTGTGTCAGTCCATTTTATGCCTGTTCCCTCGTTGGTTGCCGTTGTCTGTCGCATTATCCAATCAATTGCAATCAGGAAGATCATTGGTGATAGTAGACAGCCTTGCCTCACTCCCGTCCTCACTTCGAAGGCTTCCGTAAGTTTCCCGTTGTGGATTACTTGGCATGCAGCATTGTCGTATAACTGTTGGATGAGGTGTATAATTGTCGATGGGACCCCGTAGTAGCGAAGTAGTTTCCAAATGACCTCTCGATCGACGCTGTCGAAGGCCTTTTCAAAGTCGATGAAGTTGAGATAGAGAGGTGACTGCCATTCCAAGCTTTGTTCAATGATGATCCGTAGAGTGGCGATTTGATCAATACATGATTTGTTTCTCCTGAATCCAGCCTGTTCCGGACGAAGTTTTTCATCTAGGGCTTGTTTGATTCTCTCCAGGATGATGCGACTTAGTATCTTGCTTGGAATGGACAGAAGCATAATTCCACGCCAGTTTTTACATTGACTTAAGTCTCCTTTCTTTGGAAGTTTGAATAAGTATCCGTTCTTCCAATCCTCGGGTACTTTGCCCTCTTTCCACACCTTCTCCAGCAGTGGTGTCATCAAGTCCGCTGTTGTCTCTGGGTCTATTTTCAAAGCTTCTGCTGGGATTCCATCTGGTCCCGGTGTTTTCCCAGTTTTAAGCATCTTGATTGCATTCAGGACTTCTGATTTCGTCGGGGGGTCAGTGTTCACTGGTAGTTCTGCTTCCGTTGTTGGTATTGTTGGGCGTGTTGTAGGTGGCGGACGATTTAGAAGTCTTTTGAAGTGTTCAGCCCAGTGCTTTCTCTGTTCCACCTCTTTGGTGATTGACTTTCCATTGTCGTCCTTTATTGGCTTAATCTGTGTCGAACGTTTGCCCGAAAGGTGCCTAGTTGTTTGGTAGAGTGTGGCGAGGTCTCCTTTGCCTGCAGCTTGTTCTGCTTCGTTTGCCATGGTTTCATAATATTTTCTTTTGTCTTCCCTGGCACTCTTCTTCACTCTTTTGTTCAGTGTATTGTAGCTTGCATTCAGCTCCTGTTTTTGTTGCTCGTCAGTGCACTGGATAATCTTTTGTTTCACTGTCCTTCTCTCTTCTATTAGTTTCCAAGTGTCCGTAGTGAGCCACTGTTTGTCCTGTCTCTTTTTTCTGCCTAGAATTTCTATGCAGGTTTGGCTCCACACCGTTTTCAAGTTGTTCCAGTGCTTTTCGACGCCGACCTCTTCGCTGGTGTTGATTTGTGTCTCGGCTTTGTCCTTTATGCTTGCAATGAAGATGTCCTTTGTAGCCTGGTCCTTCAGCTTTTGAGTGTTGAACTTGGCTTGTGGTCTATCTGCAGCTCCTCCTTCTCTGAAAGCTTTTAATTTGATTTGGATTGTCCCTTGTACGAGATAGTGGTCTGAGCCAACGTCTGCTCCTCTTCTTGCTTTTGTGTCCAGTAGGCTGCGCCTCCACTTCCTTGAGATTGAGATGAAGTCGATTTGGTTTTTGGTTTGCCCGTCTGGTGACACCCATGTAGCCTTGTGGATATCTTTGTGCTTGTATACACTGCCACCAATCACCAGTTCGTTGAAGGCGCAGAAGTCGGCGAAGAGTTCTCCGTTTTCATTCATTTCTCCTAGAGCTTCTCTACCCATGATGAGTTCCCTTCCTGTGTTGTCTGGTCCCAGTTTGGCGTTCATGTCTCCCATTAGTATTTTCATGTCGCCAGCTGGAGTATTGTCCATTGTTGCCTGTAGTTGCCTGTAGAATTCTTCTTTCTTTTCGAGGTCTGCGTTGTTTGTGGGTGCATAACATTGTATGATTGACACTTTCCTTCCTTTGGAGTTGAATCTGGCGGTCATTATCCTGGACGAAATCGCCTCCCATTGTATCAGGGCTTTCGTTGCCGTTGGTGACATCATGATAGCCACGCCCTCGGTGTGCGTGTGGTTATCTTCTGGGTGACCGGAGTAGATCACTGACTCACCCGTTGACAATTTGGTGAGTCCACTCCCATTCCATCTGCTCTCACATATTCCCAGCACTTGTATTCCGTATCTTTTCATCTCGTTGGCGATCTGGGCAGCTTTCCCAGTCTCGTACATAGTTCGGACGTTCCATGTTCCCACACAGACTTTTTCTTTTGGTGCAAAGAGGTTCATTGCTGAAGTTTCTGTAGCAATTTTTGTTTACAGGGTGGGGTTGCTAGCCTCGCCTGAGAAAGGAATGGTTACATTAAGATAGAATTTAGAGAGAAGCGACCTTTTGGGTTCTTCTTCTTCTTTACTTCGGCTATCTCCTATGGGAGGATGAGCCGGCTTCATGAACTCATGAAGTTTCATGGGAATTGGGTACGAGTGATGTCCCCAGCATCGCTCGGCCTTTGTTTGAGAGTGCAGCTCTAGTCTTTACACAACCAAGTGTGACCTACAAGGCAGTAGGAGTGGAGTAGGGAGTCCACTATCCATTGGCAGCCGGTGACCGGAGTCCGGTTCATTCGCCTTTTTGAATGGGGCCAGTCATCTAGGGCATCCAATAAGCCCTTTGTCCATACGTCTGCCGGTGAGCTTCATAAGCCAGTCGTTGGAGGTTTGGAATCAGGGTTTAGCCATCTCCCCTAGACTGTCATCCAATGGACAGTCAACCCGGTGAAGAGCGCCGGGCATCCGCTTTTGCCCTCTCACTTTGGTGAAAAACACCTCCGCCACATGAAGGCAGTGAGTAGGACTTCCTCAGGAGAGACTATGTAAGACGCCCGGTCATATGGGAGCATTTCAAGAGGTGTACGGAGGGGTGGCCAACCCGCAGCGCAAGACACCCACCCCCGACCATCCTGAGGCTTTGGAGGCTTATACAATGCGCAATAATAAATATTAACTTTAGGGATTGGTCAGTTTCCTGTAAATCAATTTTGGTATTATATATATATATATATATATATAATATATATATATATATATATATATATTTGATCATTTCCCTTGTCCTCTGAAAGTAGCCGAATGTATGTCTTACTAATATTACGTGCAGATTAATAACTAACAATTTCGCTACACATTCTTTTCTGTATTTTAAAAGGATGAAATGCTTGCACGTTTTGTTGTCGGGAGTCATATGCGTCATCATCCTAACATTACCCCAGAGGAGCGGGTTGCATTAAATGATCAACTAACAGAACTCGGGGTCACTCGAACTGGTTCCTATTCAGATTTGCAACCGCTAGGTCAGGTAATTAGTTATCTTTAAGCCTGCATATGTTCGTTTAAGGAATATTGTTTATTGTGATGAACCTTCATTGTTATGTGATACTTTTGAACATTATTTTTCTTTGCTATTCCTCCAGTTGAGATTTGGGTCGCTAGATAGTGTTACTTTCCTGCATATGTGCATGAACAGGTAGATTGTTGTTATTCCACGCGTTCAAGAGAATTTAGTATTTGAATAGGATTGTTACAATTTTATAGTCGTTCATTAATCGTACCTCAAAAGGTTATGTGGACAATTTCGCACCTGCATAACCAAACACAACTGTATCCCAGTCAATGCCGCCAATCAGTTCCAGACCTAACAAACAGTGACAATGTTCAGAGCTTCTGTGAGGAATTTCGAGTACAGTTTATAGCGGCTATTTGTAAAAGAGACTTAGACTGACTATTGTTTTTCGATGTTTGCAATTTTTGCTTCTAAGTACCATTTTTTGTCTTTTTAAAATGCATCTTCTCGTAATTTCTCTTGAAAGAGTTGTCTTTTTTCGACAATATTTAAAAAATGTGCAACAGCGTAAGGCCAATCCTGTATTGTGTTTAGCGTTTGGCCTTAAATTTGTGCCTTATGTTCCCCTTCAGTTTTAGCATCCCGATAACTGTTGTAAGCTAGCACCATACCGAGTATTCTATAATCAGAGTGAAGTATTCACTTACGCTCTATTAAAACGAGTTCATATTCTTGAAAATACCTTTTTATGTTTTGTGGCATCATCCTTAGCGTTACTTAAATCAATAGGTACTCATGGGAATTTTTGTACTATCTTTATCTTTGTGGTGGACGTAATATACATAATATACATATACATATATATATATATATATATATATATATATATATATATATATATATATATATATATATACGTTGTTATTCACATTAATTCGCGGTTATCAACTTCAATTACCTTTTGTTGTCGAGTAGCAAAGTTGTATTGAATGACCCGTATATTATGCATACGGGTAACGTGTCACTCGAATAAAGATACTATCTTTATTACTAATAATTATTTTTTGTAAATATTATGTTAATCTTCAATTTGAGGAAGTATTCTGTTTACAATGAATATTGTTGCTTGCTGATTGCTAAGGAATGTTTTATAGATTTTTCGGGCTATTTCTGCAGTATATTTCTATTAGTTCCCATTATGGTTCATCCTGTTAGATTGCAGTCTTCTGAACGCCCTGAAAAAACCTGTAATACATTTGGGATGTGGTTTACACTCGTGAAATTTGAGGCAGTATTTTAAGGATATGCAGCGGAATTGTTGTGTGTTCTAGTGAAGTTTTCCTTCTTTTGGGATGTTGTATTACCCCTTATTATCCTGGTTGCTGCTGACATAACTCAAGGCAGATAAACATACTTTTTCGACTTTTATCCACTTGTCACAGGTGTTATATCTGGTGTTATATCAGCGTTCGTGTGAACTGTACCGCAATATGTTGTGTACGATTTTATTGGCAGAGAAAAGTAGTCAGTTGATTAAACAAGTTGGGTGTAGTGTCAAGTAGAGGGGAAGTCAGTTAACGACGATGTGAATCCTCACTTATTTATATGACTTGAACATCTAAGCATATCGAATCGCGTTTGAAGTGCTGTTAAGTTCAATGAAAATTAGAAATTCCCAGACTGAAATTTAAACTAATTGGATGAAGTCAGTGACTCTTGATCTGAGACGTGTTGGTGTAAATTGTTTATCTGAGGTTCAAAAAATCCTAGGAAAGTAGGATATACTTGTAAAAATGGCTCAAAATCATACTTAACAGAGCAGATGTATCTAATCCCCGTCATTTTGGATAACTTAAAATCTTAAGTTTATATATGTACATATAATATCATTCTTTATTATTTTTTTGTTTAAGTGCGGCAACTAGGATTGATGGATCTCAGTGCATCGTACCCCACTGATCTGTCAGCACATCTTTATTTTAGTCGACTGATACATTTGGGATATTTCGTCATCAGAAATCCTGTTGTTGGAAAAAATACATTAATAGACATCTTGAGTCTGGAAATGAGAAGCAGTGTTTGTTGTTAGGATATTTTTTATTAAACCTCTTGAGAAAACAACTCTAATCGGATAGCATTTTGTGTGATGCGTATGTCAAATCATTGTAGTTTTCAGTTGTTCAGCAATAAGGTATGGGCTTCTTGGACGATCTCTAGTGTTCTCTTGTCATTAGTGCTTTTTGAGAAAAAAGTGATGAGTCGTCTCTTTTAAATTTCAGAATTGTTTTTCCTATCTGGTATAGCCCAACCGTGGATATACCCTTCCTGCAGCTCAGATTAAAGGAATCATTATCATCATTAACTTTGAAGGACTTGTATCTTAAATCTATTAGTATTTCAACGTGTTCATAATAGACCTCATAATGATTATTATCTTTTTAAACTGTTGTAAGAGCCTGCTACAATATTTGTACAATCCAAAGCACGTGTATTTAAATAAATAAATAACTTCAGTAAATTGATAAGTGGATTCCTAATTGGGTTAATTTTAGCAAATGGGTAACATCTTACACCATAATATTGTTTTATCTCTTAGCATTAAATGTTTTTATGTATGTTTCCATGGTTAAATATATTCTTGAACAACAAACATATTTGCTAGCTTATTCATAATCATTTTGACACCTTTTCGTGTTGACATTGGAGTAGCCAATCATAAGCAGTCTCGGATATGTTTATATCACTCGTTATTTGTTTGTAACTCTTCGTTATGGTTGGCTTAAGCTGAGTAAACTGTGTGTGTTCATGAGGTCACTCGTTATTTGATTGGTTTTAATGTGATAGTTGTTTGATGAATTTCTACGTCAGAATATAGACACAAATGATGACATTTGTTTATCGTGTTTGTGTGCAACTTACTAAATATTTAAACGTTGCTGTCATAAACTGTATTCAATATGGAATGTAACATTTATTTTCACACTTCCTGTATCATATTAATACCAGACTATGTTTTGGTTTACTTTGAATTCAGGACTTGTTAAAGAAGTATATAATTTATGCCAAAGATCGTATTCATCCGAAGTTAAATCAAATGGACCAGGATAAGGTGGCTGCAGCTTATGCCGATTTAAGACGCGAGTCTATGGTAAGTGTTTACTTCTATGACTATGACTAATTTCCATAGTCTGTGGATTGTATTCACCTGATTATCTGTGATTATCTTCCAGTCAATAATTCTCTTCATTCATGTTCTTATCTAGACCGTGTTTGTTTCTTTGGTTCATTCTCTTCGTAGGTCACGGGCAGCTTACCAATTACGGTTCGCCATATTGAATCAGTGATTCGTTTGTCTGAGGCACATGCTCGTTTACATCTCCGAGAATTCGTTAATGAGGATGATGTTAATATGGCTCTGCGTGTCATGTTGGAGTCATTTGTTTCCACTCAGAAGTTCAGTGTCATGAAGTCTATGCGTCAGGTAAGCTTTGCACGTTTGTTTCTTTTTTGTCTGTTACTTAAATTATTGGCACAAGTTAGCTTCTTCAACTGCCTTAGTGAAAACACTCCATGTATAATGGTGACCCAACATATTTCAAATGAGCTTATTTTTCATGTTGTATGCTCCGGTGATTTCATTCGACTTTTAGTGAACAGCACTTGTTCGTGCATGTGATAAATTGCCATTTTTGCCAGTCTTTTATTTATACCTCAAAACACCGCGTCTCTAATACTAAAATAGTCATTGTGCATACGACTTAATAAGCTTTATTCATTGAATCCTGCTAATTCTTGTTGTAAGAACGGTTAGTTATTACAGTTTTTCATTGCAATTGGGTTGCTTTTGCCACTATGTTTTATGCTTCTTGATTTTTTGCAACCGTACTTCCAGACATTTTCACGATTCCTCAGTTACCGTCGGGATAATCAAGAGTTGCTGTTATTCTTGCTGAAGCAGATGGTCCAAGATAGACTAGCTTTTGAGCGCATTCGACATGCTGGAAATCAAGAGTGGCGTATCGAGGTTACCGAAAGAGAGTTTGCCGAACGTGCGAAACAGATAAATATAACCTCTGTTCGTCCATTCCTACAGAGCGATCTTTTTAAAGCACATCATTTTGTTTATGATGCCAATCGAAAAGTTATAGTGCACACAGTTTAAATGTAGGTATGTTCTGTCAATTTCATGTTAGGTAACTACTGTTTCATTTTATGGAGTTTTTTAAAGGTATTCTATACAACTGTTCACTTATCGGAGGTTATGTGTGGAGCAAACTGACCTGCTTCTGCTAAATGCTTTGCTGCATTTTGTTCAGGTGCTCAATTCATTTTACAGATTGCACTACTCATAGCCTTCGTTAGAACAGCTAAGCAGCTATAATAGTATTGAAATGTCTGCCTATACCTGTCTTATTTAGACCCGCATTTCTCATTTGGCTTTTTTTATTTATTTCAGGACATTAGGTGAACACGAACCATAGTTCCTCGTATTAAACAACGAAACTATTTTTCATACTTATATATGCTTATATGTATTCTTGTTTTTATAAACCATATTGCATTTTGATCGATCTACGCAATCTTATCTATTTTGACAATCTAGTGTTCCACAACATCTAATAATTGTTGGTAAATTCATAGATTTATAAAAAATATACAAGTTATTATTTTAGTCAGTTCTTATGCTTTGTGTTTTTTATTTTCATCCTGGGGACTTGGTTAGTCACCTTAAATGTTGACATCAAATGCCATATCTTCAGATTTACACTAAGTCGGATTCTTCATCACAAAAAGCAAATATGAAAAATGAATTGAAATCCCTTACCAAACAGAAAACCATACTGGCAACTGTCTATTCATCGATGGATGAATTCAGTTTGTGGTTTCAATTTATATTCAGTGTTTCATTTTATCTACATAATTCAGTATGACAGGTTTCCCACCTTGATGAATATTTGTTATGTACATGCATTAGTGTGGTTAATTTTTGCTATAATGGCATGTCTCTTTTAGTATTCTTGCAATTTACGTAAATTTTTTAGATGTGAAAGAAGTTGATTTTGATGTATAGTAGTAGGGTTTTGAAGATTATCATTGGCCATGTGAAAAATATAGTGTATATCCGGAACAGTCTTCGCAAAGCTCTTTAAGATTTCATATCAACGTCGAGTATTCATTGACTACTCGAGTGACAAATAATACCTTACTGTATCATGTATGTGTGGCATAATGCTAGTAATTTTATATTTATTTGGTGCTGAACTAAGTCTTTTAAATTTGGAAGGGTCTAGGGTTTTCATAATATGAACAACTTTACAGACAATTTCAGATATTTGATACCAGGCTGATTTTGGTTGCTCTAACAAAATTTTTAGTGCTACTGGAGGGAATATTACTAAAAGTAGCGAATTAATTGTCCCTTCTTTTCTGTGGCATAGTTTAGAGTTTCACAGTCAAACCATAACATAACTGTGGTGTTGTTCTCTTCTAAGCTCGACTTCCGTTTGTAAATTGGGGTGGCACTCACTGTTATGCTATGTCATGCCAGTTGTCAGTGGATATTATGCTGAAAAAGAAAAATTGATGGCTAAGAGGATAGTAAGACGAATTAATATCTGTGTGTCATTGATTTCAGTAGTCAGTACATCTGTGTATTCTTGTGACTAAAGAGGACCATTTCGATATCCATCAAGTAGAGCGGTAGGACCCATACAAACCCACATCTATGGACTAGAGTGAATGCATATTAAGAAACAACAAACACCAAAAAACATGAATTGTACACTTGTGCTTACTAGGGAAGTGATGATTAGCCCTCCTCGTAGTCTGATTGTTGTGTATTCAATTTTCCAGGGTCATATAACTACAGAGTTCCATATTGAGAGTAAATGGCTCTTCCGTATTTAATGATTTTTCCTGGTGTGTTCAGTTCATGGAAATAAGAATAAACAGTTCAGCGATTAGTTTCTTTTCGGCGAATTTAATTTACTGGTTGTCTTAAAGTCGAATATGAAAATAGTATAAACGCGTTGATATTTTGCGAGTGCATTGGAGTAGAGTTGGAATACTAAATAATTGAGTAGGGAATAATTTAGCCACGTAGAACTGAGATATCGCAGAAATTGTGTAGTACCATCTATTGGTACTTTATATATTTCGCGCTTCACTAATATAATATTAGTCATGGTCTAATCAAATGTTTGATTTCTTTGTCATAATAATCCTGATTCATTAGTCCATTTCTTAAAAAAGTATTCCTCACTCGTTTTGTTCTTATAGCGATCGTCATCAAAGTAGAGGCTTACTGTCTTGAATTGGAATCCATAAAGGATTCCAATCCAACCAATTTGAGCAACCTACCTATTGCTCGGTTTGTTTGGTGGCACTTACCGATTAGAAATTATCAACTTTTGATTGGCGAATCGAACAACTGTATATTTTATTTTGAATTAATTGTGCAATTTAGACCATAGAGTCATTTTACCATGAGTTCTTCAATCAGGTCATTGGTTTTCACACTTAATGGTAATAGGCATCATAATTTTACCCGTGAATATAGCTCTTGATGTGTGGTGTCAACGTTAAAATGACATATTGGGAACTCTACCTCTCATTTCAAAAACTAAGTTCACACTGAACTTAATGAATATTCTTATCACCTCTTGTTGACTGCTTATTGTCCCCTTTTTGATATGTAAATTTAGTTATTAAACGAAAACTTTTCAATCAAGAAAGTCATTACAGGACAACTTTTTTAGTGATTTGACAACTGATTCATTTGTACTAATCAGTCCTACTTGAAGTGAGTTGTAACCAGAATAGCTTACGGTTAAGGTGTTTTTTTTCGTCATAAACTGTAACAGGAGTTTGAAAAGTTGTGGATGAGCTTTACTGATACGTGCATAGTGGCAAGAAGGGGACTCTTTTCAGTTCGTGTTATTTTTTTAAGCACTCGATTAATGAGAACATTATTGTGATAGAATAGATTAGTTTCATTATCGATAGATAATTATGCAAAGTTATAGCACCGAAATCCATAGCCTCATCCAACTCGTGAAATCTTTCCAAATTTAGGGCAGTGATGTTTTGAAATATTCCTTATTGGTGTTTTTGGTTTAGAATGATTAGGAGAGGGGGAGGGAGAGAGCGATATCATATGAAGTGATTACGTCATCTTCAAGATTACATGATGAGTCAGACAGGTTGGTGGGTGGGCGAACAAAGTTGGATTAAACTAGACGGCCTTATGACGTCAAGAGGACAAAACGATGACCTGATTGAATTTTATCTGCTACCTCACTGAATTTGAATGGAGTTAAACATTAACTTATGCCTTTTCAAATAAGGATGAATAAATTTTGAAACGGTGCGGTTATCACAAAGTTCCTTACGACAGTTAATACATAACCTACCATGGTAATATAGAAATTACTGATAAGTTATTACAAAACAGACAGTTCGTAGCAAGGATGGATGAATGGTCACGTTAAATTGTCAGTTAGAATTATTAACTCCAAATAGGTTAAGTCAGCAGAAATGCTTTTTAATATTTCCGTATTTAATTGTTGGTTTGTAGGGATTTGATTGGTATACGAGCTCGCCTTGTAACCAGAGGGTCCTGGGCTCGAATTCCGGTGGGTGCGTACCGATGACGAGTCCCAAACTAGGATGAAACGACTGTCCAGTACTCCAATCTGGTTTTTTAATGGTTCTCTAACTAATGTCAGCTCATGATGAAATCCTATATTTCCGTGGTTAGATGGCGGAGATGTCTAGATTTAGGTTTCCTCAACCCTGCATCCTGTGGAAGGTTTGAATAATATCAATTTCAGCATGGCAGTGATACCTATTTTGGGTAATGCTTCTTGATATATGCGGGAAGGAAATAAGACTAAGGCAATAGGGAATGGCTGAGACATCAGCGAATCAACATTTTGCGTCAAATCTGTGTCCCAAAAGAAGAGTGCGTAGTAGCACATACGTGTGTCTGAATCGCTTTAAGAATGAACTCACCGGAACTAAATGTTTCGTAAATCTTCATGAAGATTTTTCGTACTATAAGAATGGTTTTACTATGATTATTTACTATGCTTTCAAGCGATATTAACTCGATCATATCCGGTCAACAGCCGGTGTGAAGAGTTATCATTGTTTTATCTCTTTTAGTGTTTCCTGTATCCTGTTGTTATTGGGTACTGTGTACTTGATAGAGTTTGTCCATTTTTGTTCATTCTTGAAGTAGATTTTGAGTAATGTTCATTTGCGCTGTAGTACACAGGGAACTTACTGACCTACTCTTATTACCTCATTGCAAATCAATTAATGGTGACTAAGATTGATTACTTCTCTCATCATGATTGTTCATTGCTTCTTTAGCACTTTTTGTTGGTTCTATATACAGCTGTTAATCTGTTTGTATGCAATTAAAACAGCCCGTAGTGAAATATGCCTCTGTATATTCATTTGACCGCTCAAACTGAATATTTGAAAATGTAAAGATTGTCAATCGAATTCGAGGTTTTCACTTACTTACTCTAAGGTAATTGGGTGAAAACCCACAAATATAGTTTTGTACGCTTGTTTATCTATTACTCTTAATATACTGTTTCACTACACTATTTCCCCTATTCGAACCCCTAGCTCGGGCACACAATTTTGTAGTGATTTAGAAGAGCTGCATTTAATAAACTTTATTCATGCGTTGGAGTGCATTATTACACGCCACAATTCATATAATGTGAAAATCTAAAACCAATTCATATGTTAACTGCATGCTCACATTATAAGATGTCCCACAAAGCGTTCATGATTCTTCATGCATTTATTCCCCTTGATGTATTTGAATAAAGCAGGAACAACAGTGGTTTGTGCAGAATAATATGGTACCATCATTGTGTATTTCGTTGGCTTCTCATCAGCTCAGCTGCTTACAGCCTAAATAAATTATGAGATTTACGTACAGAAAAGTTTTAACATACTTGCAAATTTTACATGTTGTCAGTTGACAGAAAGTTCCACAATTAATAAACAGTGCTCAGAAAATTGCGCTTATATAGTTTTTTACACAGGCAGTTCAAGTTTAAACAAAATAAATGTGCGTTAGATGCAGAGTGACTAATAAGTTAGGTTACGATGTACTGAGTTGAACTCAGATCATAGAAACAAGAGACAAGCAAAATTACAGATTATAAAAAGAGGGTGGGGTTAAAGGCAAAGATTACGTAATCAGATGAGAGAATAAAGACATCCAGTTACCAGGGCAAGGAAAGACTAATGACTGCTTCTTTCTAAACACATAAATCTGGTTTCAAGCGTTTGATAGAAATTGCTTCGGCAAACTTGAGGAGAATGTAGTTCCTTTGTCTGTTGATAATTCTGAAGGATTTCTCGATTTCCACCTCATGACGCGTGTCGAGGAGATGTCTGGTAATAACGCTACTATAAGAGTTTGTTCCCTTGATACGTAGGCTTTTCGGTACATGATTCTATAAATCATAGAAATAAATTAGTCAACTGTCGGTAACCACCACGACAAATCGTGTGGCTTTCAGTGAGAAGTAGAAATCTCACTGAGTGGAAATGTCGTATATTGTTAACTTGAAATAAATAAAAAGCAGGTGTCTCCTCTGATTTCGTAACTGAAAGACACTAGTTACGATTAATTACTTTGTAATTCTATGAGAAATACACAACTAAGACCAACTCTTGTTTGCAGAAAGCTAATCTCTACT